GATGTATGATTCAATAGGGTTATCACGGAAAATTCCTAATGGGCCGATTTGGCCTCTTATGCGCCCCCGTCCTTTATAAATGTTCTACGCCTGGAGTTTCAACTGGTGAAGTAGTAGCCGGTTGGAGTGGAACAGGCGATCGTTCTGACGCGATCAACTATGCAACGAGTGTTGTCTTCGACAATAATGGGACCATGTTCATTTGTGATAGTACCGAACGTAGGGTGAAGCGATGGTTTAAGGATAATGAGTACGGACAAACAATTGTTGCTAATATTTCATGCTTTGGACTCGCGCTTGATAACGAAGGCTCGTTATACATCACTGATCGCTATAATGTAATAAAATGGCCTAGTGGTGAAGTAGTAGCTGGTAACAACGGAGAAGGTGATGCTCTGAATCAACTTGCGTACCCGTTCCATTTATTCGTCGATCGGAATCGGTCAGTTTTCGTGCCAGACGCTTCCAATTATCGTGTGGTCAAATGGATCGTTGGCGCCAAAGAGGGCATAGTCGTGGCTGGTGGTAATGGGCTTGGAGATGGAGCCAACCAGACGAATTGGCCTACTTCAGCAATTGCTGATCAAATGGGCACCGTTTATGTTGCTGAATGGGGCAATCACAGAATCACACGTTGGTTCAAGGACTCCAAATCGGGTACTGTTATTCTTGGTGGCGAAAGGGGAAAAGAAGCATATCAACTAGCATTTCCGACAAGTCTAGTATTTGACCGACAAGGAAATTTGTACGTGGCCGATCTTGATAATAATCGAGTTCAAAAGTTCACAATCGATAAAAGTTCTTGTGGTGCAGGTGAATATAAAAATTTGGCTAGTAATTGATTGATCATTGTCGTTGTCTTTATCTGTGTAATTTAGTGCCGCCATCAAGCTAAGAGCAGTTTCATTCAACAAGCTGAATGGTAAAGAAATGATAACTCTTCCACTGCCAGCAATGCTATTTTAGAAATTTGTTCTAATCACTAAATTGATTCATTTATTTGAGAACTAGGATGATATGTATTGTTCTTGTTGTTGATTTCAGAATCAAATAGATGTGTAGAGAACACTTCCTCCTAAGTTATTTCAGCTTCAAACGCCGATCATTATTGCAGAAAAATCTTTCCAATTTGGTTGTATACAGCTATACAAGAAAAGAAGAACGTCGTACAGTATCTATTTAGAGGAATGCAAGGGTGTGGGTGTGGGTGTGAGGGGAAATAGTATGTACACCCACATCCACATCCACTCAATCATGATTTGAATGTTTCACATTCGACCAACGTACAACAGACTAGCTAAGAAAAGGCTATAATGCAGGAGATGCATACAATTGAGATAATCCTTAGAAATGTAAGAGTAGAATACGAGCAAACAGGAGACTGCGTCAATAAATCAGTCGCCAATGCAATCGATATTCTACGATATCCATGAACAGAATCTTCTCATGATGAGTTCGTTTCATTTTCATTACATCTTCAAATGTCATTTCGATTGTCGTCAATCGAGAATACAACTTATCCAACACAATCTCATCAACATAGTTCCAATGACGTAGCAAACAAAATTGATAATAATAAGGATCCATAGGCCAAGCGTGAATTTTCCAAATATAGAAGTGATCTTAATTTCACTTTTGGTATCTTGTGAAGTTAGGTCGTTCATATCATAGCACTCACCGTGGAATCCACGCAAAGAATTATCTGAAAATAAAGAGAACTGTATAATTGTTTGACAATCGTGTAGATGAATCGAAGCGACCAGCAAACATATAAGAAATGAATCTATTTTCTGAGCTTCAACACAATGACATTTTCAAGTGAAAAAGAATCTGTTTCAGTATTGCCAAAATCCAGGATTTTCCTAATGTTATCGTGTTGGAAAATAATGAGCATCTTATAAAGAATGGTGGTATTGTTATGTTTTGAATATCTCAGTCAGCTTTCATCGTACACACTTTGATTTTTTATTTAAAAAACCTGCTGATACAATTTTCTATAAAACCTTCAGCTATATTCTTAGTATTATTACGGAGTCCGCAAAAATAGTCGATGATTAGCGAAAAGTATCATAATGTCATGTTTTCTCGCCATTTTTTTTGTTATACCTCCTTTCTAGTGACCGAACGTGACAAATAAAGACCTTTCGAGTACACCAGTTATTGGCTCTTGAAGAGTACTATCGTTCAGTGACAATTCAAATTTTTCAAACAAGAGTCTACTCGAAAAGAGCTTTCTATTCTGTAAGTTTTTCGGATTTTACATGATTTCTCGAAATACTGTCCATATACCGAAAAACTCATACATTCATGTTAGAAACTTGCATCCTTTTAACGTAGACACAGCTGGAATATTATCGTGTTCAAGAATACTCCGGGGAAATATTTTTTTACTGTCGAATAAAGAAGCTTTCTTATTGTTTTAACCAATTTCTCAAACTTCTTTATTGTTTCTGTTGAAAATAGACTTACATGAAAAACACGTATCGTCTGACAAGGGAACCATCCGAGGTGTCAAAAAGCTTTTCAGTCGGGGATATGATGGTTAGATCGGGCATAGGTAGGAGTGATATACCCTAAGTTAGTTCGGGCCCAAGTTGCTTCTAGCAGGAGTTATGAAATGTGAAATTTAGGTATAAAAATGAATCAGGGAAGGTTTTCTCCACTATTGTAAGGACAAAA